TAAGTTAATTATTAAAAAATATTGTTATTAAATAAAACTATATTTACTAATCATATATTGTAAAGCTTATTACAATTTGACGACCCCGAATATTTTAAAAATAATTTCGATTTGTTTTTGTATGTGTGATTACGTGCAGAATTTCTGAAGTATGAATTTACAAACCGAAAAATCCAGCATTTAAAGGCGACCTTTAAGTGATAGATTTAAGGGTTGTTCCCTCCTCTTACGGCGAAAAAGAAACCCTCAAATATTATCGTCTGCTTCGCCATACTTAACTATGAACACGTTCGGCTGTCAATCGAGTGTAAATAAATCGGTTAACACTTCAGAAAAACAAGACCTCGGAGTTAAGAAATATTTGTATACAATATTTTATGTATTTATTTATTACTTATGCTATAAGTAATATTTGTTTCAAATCAGATTAATTTAACTTTAAATTTGCTATTTTTTTCAAATAACGTTTCAGAAATATATATTTTATTTTTGCAAGATTTTTAAAATTGAGAATTAACTTTTGTTTACAAAGGTGTCAAAAATGGCCTGTTGATCGATTTTAATGAAAAAAAAATCGATTCCGATCAATATAACTTCAGTTTGAAATACACCACAGAGTATTTTGCTTACTGGAGATAGTAAATTTTAAATCCTTTAGCTTTCAATTAAAGCTAAAATGAAAGCTTCGAGAAAGCTTTTTCATTTAAAAAAACATTGCAAACCTTACGTATACCGAATTAGTGGAGGTACCTACTTAAAAGTAATAGAATAATTTAATATAAATTGGAATTGTTATTATTTTTTTCATTGATTATATATATTACTTTGGTTTATTTTGTTTTACGGCACATCAACCTCAATGGGTTATTTAATGTCGACAACATTTTTAGGATAGATTTGTATGAATAGAATATGTATTCTTTGGTTTAGATTGGTTTGGTTTATTTTGTCCCACGGCACACCAGCCCCAATGGGCTACTCAATGCCAAGAAAATACATTATTGCTGGTAATATTTTGTTTTGTCAAAAATCTGTTTCTGTTAATATTCTTCCTTCAAAATTGTATTGCTGGTAATAATTTTTCCAAAAAATTATTGCTGGTAATAGTTAACTATTTGCCTATAGCTGGGACCCTAACAGGTGCTACCACCTCAGGTCATGGTGGACCTGGGAACACCAGTAATTAAGATGTGGTTCTACGTTTCTTAAAACCTCCTGATTAGAGGCCTTGCTGCTGGACGTTGTTTATCGTCTTACCCAGGACGCGGATGTAGTTTAACGTCTAACCTAGGACGCGGATATAGTTTAATGTCTTACCCAAGCCGATATATATATATATATATATATATATATATATATATATATATATATATATATATTAGAATTATTATATTTATTTGTAATTATATATGCATTGTTTATTTCTCTCAACTTTTTTACACAGTAATAGAGTTTTTTTTTCTGTATTAGTATTTATTTAGTGTTGTAAAATTATCCTGAAGACTATTTTATTTTTACTTTCTGATTACTTTCTAGCTAAAGTTATATTTATCAACTTTGACTTTTCTACACTCAGTTATTTTTTTATGAATTGGTAATTTAGGTGTTAGTACTGGCCAATTACTTCCATTATTAGCTCCCTTCATTTTTCTCTTCAAACCCTCTACCAAGCCCGACTTCAGACTCGCTATCAATTATCGCTTTAATCTTGTCCATTCTTGTGTTCATAAAAAAAATGAATAAAAATTAATTCTAGTGTCAAAAATAATTTTAATAAAATAATTTTGTGTCTATAGCAGTTCAACTTTCTTTTCTTAATGGTAGATATGATGTCTTCCTAGAGACCTGTTTCTGGTCTGATGGTGCCATTTGGAAGATTCAGTAGTATTATATTTGTCATTCTTGGAATTCTTGCTGTAGTTCTGCTTTTAATATCCGTATAAAAAGATCGAAAAGGTCAATGTACGTAACTGTTTGAACTTTGATTTCAGGCAGATGTTTCCGGCTTTCCAGAGTCTTTGTTTTGGAACAGCTGCCATTGATTGTGTTGCTCTTGAAATTATTTCTACGAGAAAAATGCCCGTGAAAATTTACCGTCTTTCCTATTTGGAATTTCTTACGAATCTTAATTCTTCAGTTAATGACTGGATAATCTTATGGTGTGTTCTTCGATAATAATATATCCGTAGAAATTCCCCGATCGTATCGTTAAATATTTGAGCTTAGCAACTTTTACGAAATATTGTAATAATAATCATAAATATGAATGCTGGTTTTTATTTTAAGAATTAAGAGGGTACTATATGAAAAGATTCGAAATAGCCAACTTTTTCCATTTCCCTGAAACAGACGTTAGAGACTTCTATCTTCCCTTCTCTTTCATTTTCTCACTGAAACCACGTAGCGTCTTTTGACATGTCACGCGTTCAAAACGGAATAGTTCATTATTTACGAGGTATTAGCAGGAGACGTTAAAATCTTTCTTTCTTTCTTTCTTTCTTTCTTTCTTTCTTTCTTTCTTTCTTTCTTTCTTTCTTTCACTGAAACCAAGTTACGTCTCTGATATGCCTTTTATCTTTCTACACGATCAAAACGGAATAGTCCATTATTTATGAGGTATTGACAGGGCGTAACGGTCGTGGGAACTAAGTAACTAACGAATAAAGGGAAAGGCACAATTATCATATGATTCTGGAACCCGTTTCACTGATAATCAAGTCAAGATATTTGAATTGGCGCAAATAAATAAATATCAATAAGTAAAAATCAAAAGGGGTCAGGTTTGGCAATCTTACTGGCTAGGGTGTGCTGCTTTCTCTCTCGACTTCCTGATTTTGAACCTCCTCCTCTCTTTATGGGGGAAGTAGTTTAAGGATAAATATTAATACCATTTATAGAAAATTATACAGAGAAAATGAAAGAAAAATAATCTAATTTTTCTGTGTCAGGCTACGACAGTGTTGGTCAGTCTTTATAGAGAATAAAGAAAAAAATAACGACGGAAGGAAGGAAAGGAGAGAAAGAGGAGAAAGAAAGAAATTGAAAGCGAAAGAAAAAGAAAAAATTGAGGAAAGAGGACGAATTGAAGAAAAATCAAAATAAAGAGAAAGGTAGGAAAAAAGAAATGAAAGTAAATTTAGCGAGAAAGAAGACAAGCAGAACGAAAAGAAGGAGAGAAAGAAAAATGAATGAGCTAGAAAAAATTAAGAAGAAAAAATGAGTAGCTAATAGGCGGGAAGAAATGAAAAATGGAATGAAAAAAAGGAAATAAAGAAAGAAAGAAAGAAGGAGAGAAAGAAGGAAAGGTGAGAAAGAAAGGAATTGATAGCAAAAGAAAAAGAAAGAAAAACGAAAGAAAACGAAAGAGAACGAAAGGAAAGAAAAATATAAATAAAGGAGAGGAAAGAAAAAGATGAAAGTAAATTTAGCGAGAAAGAAAAAATAGAGAACGAACGGAAAGAGAAAAAGAAGAAAAAAGAAAGAGCTAGAACAAAACGAAAAATAAAAAAGAGAAGAAAAAGTAAAAAAAGGTGTGAAGAAATGAAAAATAGAATGAAAAAAAACCCAAAAGGGAAACAGAACAGCTTTAAGTATGTGTCGTGGGAATGAAGAAATTTGAAGAAAATCATAGAAGGAAAAGAATGAAAAAAGAAAACGAGAAGAAAGGAAAATGGCGGAAAGACAAAAAACAAAAAAATAAAATAAAATAAAAATAAAAATAAAAGGAAGTTGCAAAATATGGAAGATATCTGCTGATCATTTGGACGAGAGATCAAAGGCTGTGAATCGGTGGTTTCGGGTCAGGACTCTTATCCAGACCGAAATAAGTTCAAATCAAACTGGAGACTCTCTTAATGAATTAACTGCCATAGAAATTTGTTTTAAACACATAAAGTAAATGAGAACGAGGCATTAAAATAGGTACGTAAGGCAATAATTCCTCCACCCCCATCAAAAAAAAAAAAAAAGAAAAAAGAGAAAATTAGAACAAGACAAAAAAATATCCTTTAACGGTTTTCTTTTAGAAAATGACCTCCCTTTTGAGTGAAGAGACAAAATAAACTGAGGGAAAGAAAAAAGGGTCTAGAGGGAAACAGAAAGTTATATGCGAGTGGTAGAGAGAGAGAGAGAGAGAGAGAGAGAGAGAGATTTATAAAGATAATATGAAGGGGTCAAATGTCTTGTGGAATAAAAGAAAGAATTGAGCAAATATTCATAGATAAGAGGAAATGAAACCTAAAAGAAAAAGATTAAGTTTAAAAAAAAAAACGAAAAAGATTAAAAAAAAAAAAGAAAGAAGAAGAAAGAGACAAGGAAGGAAAAATGTTTGTTCTGATGGAAATATTGTTAAAAGATGAAGCTAGGAAAATACCTTGAAAATGTGAGAGAAGAGAGTATATTTATACTAAAATTCAGTAATATAAAGCTCGAGAGCCACTAAAGGTAGAGAATTACTGTTAAAATGCTAATGATCATTGAAGTGTGTAATATGAATGAAAGAGAACGTTATAGGAAGTGAATGTTATTACGATATGGAATGGATAACAAGGGAACCTTCAGTTGAAGAGTTTAAGATTGTAGTGTTACTTGAGAGTTTATTTTTAGTGGATATTCGTATTTGTTTGGGTGGCGCGCTTTTCTAATGGCTACCGAACTATGCACTCGAGAAAAAAGAATAAAGAAAATATGCCCTTCAGCAGTGCTCCCCCAATTGTAGAAGACACCACTGTTTAATCCATCGTGCTTTCCTTAAAAGGGGAAATAAACCCTGAGTGGGATAGGACTATCTATGTGGTCGAGGGGTCTAAGACACGCCGGACCAGACGATGGTTTGTCTCACAAAGGGCGACGCAGGTTCAAACCCTATCATAGGGCACATTTTCTTTATTAAGCTTTCTCAAGTGCGCAGGTATCTGTAAACGTAATATGTAGGGGTATTATTATTATAAATAAATAAAAATAAAATATAAAATAATAATAAGGAAAATGATAAATTCAAGCTTACAGCACCTGGTGTTCCCAATTTGTCACCCATCTTGGTACTGACCAAGGCTCGATGATGCTTAACTTCCGTGAGCATACGGGAAACAGTGTTTCAATGTGATGCGGCCATAAGCCTATAAGTGCTTAAGGAGTGATAACATTTTATCGCAGATTATTTATAGTCCCGAGAGCGTCCCCTAGGAGCAGTTTCTAAAATTAGAAGGAGGTAACCGACAAATGTTTAGAAGTTTTTTGGTTCGTTCTTTTTTGTTTAACAGCGTATCTACCTCAATGCGCAATTTAATGCAGATATCTTAATATTTTGTACAACATTTTTATTTTATTTTTTTAAGATAATAATGGTTTTAGTGATACAAGTCTTAATAATTAACCCGTAACTCGAGGGAGAAGAGGTGGATTTATTTGTTCGTAAGTGAATATAACAAACTCAACTGGAATTGGAACTCAGCTCTCCAATTAACAATTTCTGAGCCATTATTATCAATTATACCAGCCGTACATCCAAGTTTACAGCATCTTGTGTTCTCAAGTTGTCACTTTTCACTGACAAAAAAAAAAAAACAAAAAAAAAATTACATAGATAAAGCCCTTCGAAAGGTGTGGGCTGTACTTGTCAGAATAATTTTTTGTATCTCTTTGAGGCATGGACTTCCAGGAATCCCTTCAATTAGTCTACTGGAGTCTTTTCCAACCAGTCCTAGGGCTCCAACTACAACAGAGATTGTTGATGTTCCCATGTGCCACATTTTTGAGATTTCTATTTCAAGGTCCTTGTATTTTGATAGCTTTTTGAATATCTTCAAAGATACGTTGCAGTCAGCAGGGACTGCCATATTAATAAGGATTATTATTATTATTATTATTAATATTTCCTATGATTTCTGTTGTATACTCATTTCCTTCTGGATACCAACCAGAGATCTAAGGTCAGAAATGGCTTCATGACATTTTCCACTGAACTTCTTTGCAAAAATAATAATATTAATGACAATAAACAACCAAAGATCACAGACATTTTGCATAGATAAATCCCTTCGCAAATTGTGAGCTGTATATGCGAGAACAATTTTTTGTATTATATTAAGGCGTGGGCTACTAGGGATCCCTTCAGTCAGTCTTATAGGGACATTATCATTATAAATAAATAAATAAATAATAATGAAAATTATGAATAAAATAAAATAAAACAATAACATAAAAACCTTGTATAAAAAATAATGAAAAAACACCCAGCATGCAACAAAAACTGTTCCTGCCGGAAACAGGGACTTCCAGTCAAAAAACGTTAAATTCAATCCCTTTACTACGAACCTTGGTATGGGCAACACGTGTCCGACTTTTCCGTGATATGGCGTGGAATACTACGGAGTAAATTTCTCACTTTTATCACATGTACCAGAAAACAATACACACAAAAATATAAATAAATTGTATGAAATTAACATATATTTTACCATGCTTTTACTGTTACTTGTGTACGCTTTATTTCCTGTCATATATGTTTTTATCTACGTGAAGATAAGGCTAATTTTTGTTGTTATGACACCGATTATGAATGATGGCCCAACAACATTTTGGTGACCGCCAACGTATTTATCCACAAATACAAACTGTTTTAAGAAAAAGGGACGTCTATTCAAATACGGGTGTCCACTAAAAATAACGTTTGAATTGTGTAGGTACATGATAGAAATCAGTTCCAACTCTGACAGCTTTTTCCCAAGGATTGCTACTTTGTGGAACAAACTACCACGCGGGTTCTTTCCTGAACATTACCATTCTTAACATGTTTAAGAAAAAGGTCATTCATTATCAAGAGAGAAGGATATATATATATATATATATATATATATATATATATATATATATATTATATATCTATCTATCTGTTCATTATCTATCTATCTATCTATCTATCTATCTATCTCAATCTACTCATATCTATCTATCTATCTATCTATCTATCTATCTATCTATGCATGTTTACGGTCAACTCACGTTGAAATATCGGTTCCTGTAGAATTACCAAAGTTAATCAACGTCGAGCTTGCTCAATATCTAGATGGGTGACAGCTTGGGAATACCATGTGATGTAAGATTGGATGTGTGGGTGGTGTAATGAATAAAACGCACGGAATTGTTAATCGGAAAGCTGAGTTCCAATTCGCAAATACCCCTGGGAAAAGTATGAATTCACATCTCCTCCAGCTACGGGTTAATTAGTAACACTAATATATATATATATATATATATATATATATATATATATATAGAGAGAGAGAGAGAGAGAGAGAGAGAGATACAGAGAGAGGGAGTGAGACGGGGGTAGAGCAATTACGACACAGAGGGCTAAAAGAATGGCTCTAGCAATGTGGACGTGATGTAGCAACGCACCCACCTAATAGATCTGATTGATTCCTTGATTCCTTCAGATTAACATTTGTTTGGAACGCTCAAATAGACATCTATTCCAGAAGCGGTTTCATAAAAGATGAC